ACATAATTGCTGATGATGTTCAATTCGGGCACAACTAGCTCTATATTGAGATGGGAAAAGCACTCGACTGGCTGTCCCAGAAATTAGAACACTTAGTACGAACAATTAGTTCTCTAGCCATGTGGTTGTGAATGGGCCACCTCTGCTCAAGCCTCCAGTAAACTTGGAGGAGAGTGAGCTCATTATAGCAAATGTCAAGGCCAGAGCCCCTTTGCAATTCACTTGCTATTGCCATGTTGCATCATCTCTGGATTGCATTAGCCTCCTTGTTGCCACCTGGAGAGGGTCCTGAGCTTAAGCTCCTACATAGAAGAATAGTGAGAAATGGAATGGAGTATCCCAAATGGCACCATTGTTTTCTTTTTGTGGATAGTGAAGCAAATAAGATAAATGTTCATTTCTGATGTGATTTTAGTGGATCCAGATATCCACTGAGTACCCCCAATATTTCAGGTTACTAAGGTCACTCTGTCCTTTATTGCCTTAAATAAAATCAAGACTTGATATCTCATAGAGATGGAAACCCAAAGTTCTCCCTCATTCTAACCCTTCCCCAACTATTTCTTGGATCATCAAGGGGTGATTACATCTTTAGGAATTTCACTTCTAATCACCTTTGTCCCATTTTCTCTGATTTTTTTCTTCTGCTGTATGGCTCACCTATTTCTATTAGTGCCTCTTTTAGGTCCTGTAGAATTTCAGTGATCCTCCTAATCAACAGATGTAACTGAAGTTTTGGGGCAATAGACATAGGGAGCAAGAAACTGGAAGCAGGATCTCACAGGGCATCACAAGAGGCAACTTAAAGCTGGCTATTAGACAACTCAATTCCTCCATCCCTGGGTCATTGTAGCTCTTGGGAACTTGTTGCTGGCTGCCATTTCTCCTCAGTCCATAGCAGCTCACCATCTTGCCAAATCTTTCTTTTTTCTACCTTAATTTCCACATTTCTCATCTTTCTGGGCCCTTCCAAACCATCTATTTGGATTCCCCTGAAGTTAAAATTCTCATGTCAATTTTACAGAACAACTTAATTTTCTCTGTATTACTCCTTCACCTTCTAGATCATTCCATGAGGATTCTTAAGTGAGTAGATAGGCTGAGAATTTCCAAAATCATCAAGGCCTGCAGCCATTTTACTTAACAGTCTTCCTGCAATCTATCTCTTTCTTTTCACATGTTATTATGAGCAGCAAGATGAAACTCATCTTGCAACATTTTGCTTGGAAATTTCCTCAGCTAAATATCTGAGTTAATTATTTACAAGTTTTTTTCCACATAACTTCAGGGCACAATTCTGCTAAGCATTCTGCTACCACATAACAAAGATCCCCTTTCCTCCATTTTCCAATAACATTTGCATCTGAGCCCTTTAATACCTTTAATATCCTTATTTCTACCAATAGTCTGTTTATGACAATTTAGGCATTCTCCAAGACAATGTATATTTTTTTTCCTATCATGCTACTCACTTCCTTCTCAGTCCTCTTTAGCAGAATTATTAATATCCATATTTCTACTAACAGTTTGTTCAAGAGAATCTAAACTTTTTCTATCATACTCCTCAAAATTCTCCTAGTTTCTGCCCTTTGGGCAATTCTAAAACAATATCCACATTTTTTTTGTTCCAAAAGCTGTGATTTTTATCAATAGAAAGAATCAAATGTATACATTTTAAAGTATTTCTAATAAAAATTCCAATGATGATTTAAATTTGACCCAGTGAGGGAAGATTAATGAGTGAGAATATCCAAGAACATATTTAAAAAGAAGCATAGTATGAGAGTACATTTTATACCAGATATTAATATGCACTGTAACATTATAATAAATATGATGTTATTTGGGTGAATGAAATAATATAGGGAGTAGTCTAATAATAACAATTAGAATTTGTTTATCACTTAATACCTTCTAGGTACTATTCTTAGTGTTTTACACAAATGAACTCATTTAAAATGTATAACAATCCTTTCATGTATGCACGTATATTAGTTTTCTATTGTTGCCGTGACAAATTGACTTAAATTTAGTGGCTTAAAACAACACGTATTTGCTATCTTCCAGTTTCTGCAGGTCAAATGTCTAACAAGATTTTTATCAGCTTAAAATCAAAGTGTCACAGAGCTGCATTTCTTACTGGAGGCACTGGGGAAGAATCCCCCTCTAGGGTCATTTAGGTTGTTGATGAATTCACTTCCTTTTGGTTGTAGGACTGAGGTCCCCGTTTCTTTGCTATCTGACAGCCAGGCATCATTCTCAGTTTTGACATGCTGCTCACACTCCTTGACATGTGACCTCTTTCTCAGAGCCAGCACCCACGGGGTGAGTCCTTCTTACACAGGGAATCTCTCTGACTCTCTCTTCTGCTGCACCTCCCCTCCGCTTTCTTCTTCAGCTAAATCTCTCTAACAAATTCTTCTGCTTTCCTCTTCTGCATTTAAGGGCTCATGTAATTACACTAAGCCCCCATGGATAATCCAGGATGATCTCTTTATTTTAACACCAGTTTATAAGTAACCTTAATTCCATTTTCAAAGTCCCTTCACAGTAGTATTGAGGGTAGCATTTGATTAAATAACCAGAGGGTGGGAATCTTGGAGGGACATCTTTGGAATTTTTCTACATCCACATTTTTCACGAATCTGTTACAGCAGCACCCTACTTCTAGGTCCTCAGAATCTATACTAGTTTCCTATTGCTGCTGTAACAAATTACAACAAACTTGGTGGCTTAAAGCAACACAAATTTATTACCTCATAGTTCTGAAGTACAGTTCTTAAAGTAACCATCTTATAGGTCTGAGAGTCAGAAGTCTGAAATGGGTCTTACTGGACTAAAACCAAGATATTGATAGCAATGCTTTTCTTTTGGAAGTTTTAGCAGATAATGGATTTCTTTGCCTTTTCCAGCTTCTAGAAGCTGCCCATATTCCTTGGCTTATGGCTTCTTTCTATTTTCAAAGCCAGTAACAGCTGGGTCAGTCTCATGCTGCATCCCTCTGACACTGATTATTCTGCCTTCCTCTTTCACTTATAAGGACCCTTGTGATTACACTGGACCCACCCAGATAATCCAGGGTACTCTCCCCATTTTAAGGTCAACTGATTAGCAACTTTAATTCCAAGTGAACCTTAATTCTCCCTTGCCATGTAACAACATGTTCACAGGTTCTAGGGATTAAAATGTGGGCATCTATGAGAAGCCATTATTCTGCTGACCACACTAGGCTTTGTATACTTTCTAAGCAAATCGTATATATTCAATAATTAATAGTTATAATTATTATTTGATAAATATAAATTGAATACCTACATATACTAGGTAAGGCATTGGAAATACAATACAGATTTACAAGACGGAAATACAGTACAGATATATAGGTTCATATATATATATACGGTTCTTGTCCTCATGAAGTTTACAGTCGAATACAAGATGTAGCTCATTGAATATACAACTTAAATACAGTGAAGTAAGGGCTATGGGATCAAAACACCATGGAAACACATAGGGAAGATATCTAATCTAACAAAATTTTTTATGAGTGGAAATTTAGAAACTCACTTCTAAGTAACTCATAAATAGAACTGACCAGTAATAAAGACATTACATGCCAAAACTTGTTGGATGCAGCTAAAGTAGCAATTAGAGAAAACTTTAGCTGAAAATGCTTATATAAGAAAAGAAGTTTAAAATTAATAGGGTAAACATCTAATTTGTAAAGACTAGAAAAAAATGGAAAAAATGATGAGAAAAAAGAATAAAGATGTGTTGAACAAGATGATGCTTCAAGGCAAGATATGTTTTCTTAACAGCTAGGAGTGTTGTTAGCTGACTGCATACAGCTGGCATCATCTTCTGTGATTGTCTAAATGGCAGGATAGGTGCCTCACCCGAGGTCATGCCCCTTCCTGGGGCAGCCTATATTCAAATGACCAATCAAAGGTGAGTGCATGGCCCCAGCTATTTTGGCCCAATGCAGGACAACTCTGGAGAGCCATTTAGCTCCAGAGCTCCCCATAGGGTGGGTGGAATCTCTCATGAGGTCAGAACTGCTTCCCAATGTCTCTCTCTACCCAATCCTGCTTCTTTCTTTGCTCCTTCCACAGATGTGGATCCCTAGGGTACTCCCGAGGAAACATTTGGCAGATTAAATTAGGAAATATGTATATCATAGTTAGATTTCAAAGAGCCAAAAAATGGTTCATTAAGAAAACTAATAACATGAATAAATGCCTGCCAAAATCAGTCAAAAAATGGCAAAGGGGTGCTATGGTCTAAACATACGTAATCCCCCAAAAGTCTTATGTTGAAACCCTAATCCCCAAGGTGATGGCATTAGGAGGAGGGACCTTTGGGAGGTTATTAGGTTATGAGGATGGAGCCCTCACGATTAGGATTGGTGCCCTTTTAAAAGAGACTGCAGAGAGCTCCCACACCCCTTCCACCATGTGAGGATACAATGAGAAGTCTGTGACCCTCACCAGGGTCTGTGACCCAGAGGGTCCTCACCCAACTACGCTGGCACCCTGATCTCAAACTTTCAGCCTCCAGAATTGTGGGAAATAAATTTCTGTTGTTTCTAAGCAACTTAGTCAGCAGTGTACTGTTACAGCAGCCTGAATGGGCTAGGACAGGGGCATATTAATATAGTTATTGAAGAGATTAAAAGGATAATGGGGATATTAAGAACAACAATATCAATGAATATTAAAGACTAGATAAAATAGATATAGCCTCATAAATGTAAAGCTTACAAATCTGATTCAACAAAAAATAGAAAACTTGACTATTCCTATAAACATCAAAGAAATCAAACCAGTAGTTTAAAATCTCATTACAAAGAAAACACTGGGTCAGATGGTTATCTGGATAAATTTTACTAAATATTCAAGGAACAAATAATTCTGATCTTAAATAAACTCTTCAGAATCTAGGAAGTGAATATTTTCAAACCTCTAAATGAGGCTAAAATAATCTTGATAGCAAAACCTGACAAAACTAAAAGAACAAAGGAAAATTACAAGCCATATCACTCATGAACATAGATTCAAAACCTAAACAAAATATCAGCCAACCTAATGTTGTAGTACACAAAAATGAGAATACATCATGACCAACTTAGTTTTTTTTCCTCCAAGGAAATCAAGGTTGATTTAACATTAGAAAATGAATTCAAAGTTTACCACATTAACAGATTAAAGGAAAAAAATCCTATGATTATCTCAATAGATGGAGGATAATCATTTGATAAATTTCAATATCCTAATAAACTACAAAAGAGAACTTCCATCACTTGATAAAGGGTAGTATTTACCAAGAACCTAATGCAAACATCAGGTATGGAGCTATTTCAATTATATCAATGAAAGATGACAGTGTCTTGCATTAGGATGGTGGCCTGTATTTGAGGTGGTGGTGGAAGATGGAAAGACATAGATGTAGGAAAATTTATGGTCTCCTGAGAGAAGAGACCCATCACACATATATTTTGAGAAGCATCTAGCCTAGGGCTCTGCATTTAATAGATGTCCAAAGTATGCTTATTGACTGATAGATGAAAGAGTATCCTGAGACACTGCCATAATTTCAAAGTGGTATAGCTTGGAGATTATTACAGGCTCCAGAAGATACTTGCTTAGAGTTGTGCTCTGGTCACAATCCACCCTGGGGTGCTCACTTTCCACTCATTGTATTTTTCATATTTAGCTGCCAAAAGACCTAATTTGTCCAAAAATCCAAACTAGAGCTTTTCATTATAAATTTGTTCTAGACAATTACTGTCTTTGAAGAGTACCCATAATAGATTGCTCTAATGTATTTGCACAATGCTAGACTCTAGAGGGATATTGGCAAAAATAGAGTTAAGTACCAAACTCTAAACCAGGATCATGCAATTGCTTTGTGAAATAGAAGAAAATTGATGAATCCTAGTCTGACTTAACTATATGTACAACCTTGATCAAATCACCCAACTGTCTTCCTACGAATTCCTGAAGCAGATCTCAAAACAAAAACTTGGATCAAAGAGTTTATTTGGAATTTGATCCCAAATAAGGGAGGGGATGAGGAAAGTGAGACAGAGAAGGGAGACAAAGCAATAAAGGGTGTCTGAATGAGGCATTACCACTGTGGGCCTCTGGCGCTCCATCCTTCTGGAGACCATCTCAGTAATCCCGTAAAAGGCAGTTCAGAACTGTCCTGCCAAGGGACATGGCAGTTGGGAGATTTCTTCACTGATTCTCTTCTTTCATTGAGCAAATTGCCCCTGGCACTTCTGGGCTGCTGTGCCAGTGAATGGGAAAGTACGTGAAGTGAGAAGTTGTCAGCTTCAGGTGAACTCAGGGTGGGCCTTGGGGATGTGAAGTCGGAAACCAGCAGCATCTGCAAAAGTAGCCAGTCTCAATTTTTATTTCCTGATCTATAAATAAAAATTTCTTATACATTACAGGGCAGTGGTGGGCATTAAAATTTTCTATATCCATTTTTATTAAGAAGGTATATTTGCCCCAAATGCTCTGGGGAAAGGGTGAAGGCTATGACAATATGCAGCAGTATGGTTCTCATAACTCATGAATCCCATGACCTGGAAAGCAGCAGTTACAAGTTTGTCTTGTCTTTATAATCTCCTTTGAGCATGATCCAAGAGAAGATATTGATAGGGACTTGATGAAAGAGGCCAAGTAGAAAAGTCTGGGTTCACCGCAAGTGTTTATTTAACTCAGATACTTCAAAAGCATTTATTGGAGAAACATTTGCAGATTCATGTCAGATGAATCAACATCCTTCACCCATATCAGAGTCATAGCCTCGGGGAGTAAATTTAGTTGGCTAACCTGTGGCTTACATGGTATGAGACCTGCCTGAGAAACTTTGAGAATCCAGTGTCAAATTTCTGGGCTGCCTTTCCCATCCTGGTGCAGGAGGGACAATCTGACCTGGGGTTGGTGAGGGCAGTGGTTCTCAACCTTGAGTGTTCATCAGAATCACTTGGAGGGCATTTGAAAACATAGATAGCTGCCCCTCCCCCTGGAGTGGTGCCCAAGACTGAGCATCTCTAAGTTCCCAGGTGATGCTGATGCTGCTGGTCCAGGGACTATATTTTGAGGACCAATGGTTTAGAAGCTAGAGACGTATAAATGAGTAGGAGAAGGCAGGGTTATGAGTCACTAAGTGCTCTGCTCAGAGTTGGATTATAAATCTGGGATCCAAACTCAAGATCAGCCTCCTGTTTCTTCAAAGATGTCGCTGCAGGTTCATAATCTCAAAGGACATTTCCATTTACTTTCCCTTCTGCCTTTTGCCCCATTCCTAGCCCATAATACACTCAGAAATCTACCACCTCCCAGAATCAGACCAGTCTTCCAAAGCAAGGCTGTGTTTAGAAGAAAAGGGGGGATTTCAGTAATAACTAGACTTTGCATGGGAGAATGATGGAGGGACTAAAAGTGAAGAAAAGAGAGAAAGAAGGAGGGAGAGAAAGAGTAAAAAGGAAAAGAGGAAAGACAGGCAGGCAGGACATAGCATTATAAATGCGCATTATGTTCCAAGTTCTAGGCTTTGATTTTCACATACTTTAGAATGTCGAAACTTCACAAACATTCCACAAGTCATGTATTATCATCCGCATGAGGAAACAGAGGTTTAAAGAGATTATGGGATCTTCTCAAGCAGATGAGACTGGTAAGAGTCACGGGCAGGACTCAAAACCAGAGGTATTCAGTTCCAAGTCCAGTGAAATTTCAACTGCTCTCCACCATCAGGAAAATTGTGTCTCTATGGAGGGTCATAAATGATTTGGAATTGGAAAGGAAAGTCATATGAGAGAAACAATGGTTACCTCAAATGCTTCACTGGTTCTTGTATTTAAAATTATGATATGGTCTATGGCCCTTGTTCCTGGCTCCCTAAACTTGAAGTAAATCTGAGATACCCTTTACAGTGTTGTGACAAGAATAAGGTGGCACTAGGTAAACTCCCTGTCTTTGTATCTATTAATCTCACTTCCTGGGGGGCTATCTCCATTCTAGGTTGAAGCCACAATGTTGCAGATATCCCAGGAATAGTATTCCTGATGCAAGAAGAGATTTTCTCAGTACAGGGCTTCTTGGAATGGACAGGACTGGCCCAGAAAGGTGGACTTGGGGGTACAGACCTACCAATGGAAGAAGCCAGTAGAGACCTAACTCTCCATCTGGATGAAGCCATGATGTAACCAACAGCTTGGCAATTGTTGGTGTTCAACCTGGAGAAACATTCAACATCCCACTGGAAAGTGCCTGTCAAATGATGAAATGGCTGATATTTTAAGATGGTTGTTTTTCTATTATAATTTTATAAGTTCTACACAGATATCTCTATATTTCTTCATTTAAGAAAGGCCCTTGACAATATTTTCTATTAGTCAATTTAGCCTGGCAGTATGTAGAGTTCAAAAGAAGCATTCAAGAGTGAGAACTACAAAGAGGACAGCTTTCACTGCAAGATAAGAATTATTCCTAGCAGTTGAATTATTCCAGCAGATATGAGATGGTCTTGCTCAGGCATCTCAATGCCCCCTGAATGGTATTAAATCTGAGACTAGATGAACATTTAGAGGCATATTGTGGAAAAACAGGCAGTAGGACTGGGGAAGTGCTGAGCTCTTCTCACCTTGTAGTCTAGGCAGAGTGGTTGAAAACATGGAATCTGGGAGACATGGGAGTCAAATGAAGGATCCGTCACTGACCATTTGGGAAACGCGAGTCATTTAACCTAGGCAACACCCTGTTTAAGACTCAGAATAGGCATCAACACGTTACTCAGACTCTGAAAGGAGACTAGATTGAGGCAAGAAACAACCTCTTTGAAGTTGCAGGTAGACACGAACTGCAGATGTGTACCTTTCCAGTATCAGGCAGTTTTTCTCAGTACAAACCACAACCAAATTTAAAACCTAAATCATAAATGATATTCAAATATGTGGTTCCTCACCTGGGGCAAAAAGGAAATAAGAAGAGCATGGAAGGGGACGTGAGGAGGGTGGAGATAGATAACGCCATTTGTTTGAAGCTCATTTGCACAGAGTAAAAAGAGATTTGACTATGAAGTCCCTCACACATGTAAAATAGAATGCCGGCCTTATTAACATTGTGTAATCTGATCTGTAAATGAAAACAATGATACCCTTTTTTTTACATAATTCAGCACAGATTGTTTTTTCTTTTAATGATAAGCCCTACTAAGACTAAAGTTCAAATCTGGGTCCTCCTTATCTATGTAAATTATCCTAGAAGAAAGACTGCTGCATACGGATGGGAAGCTGATACTTAATGAAGAAGTTTAAAAAGATCCAGAACTCCTTCAGTGAAAGAACTCAAATATCAAAACATTAAAAATCAAACTCTACATGGAAGGGGCATGCCATCTGAAGCCCCGCTCTCCTAATTTGGAAAGTATTCTGGAACAAAGTGTTTGTCATCTGAAATAGTGTGCATGCATGTGTGTGTGTATATTTGTGTATGGGTGTGCATATGTGTAAGTGTGTGTGCGATGCATGTTTGTGGCAAAACTAGAGGGGACAGCAAAATGGAGCCATTTTAGAAGCATGAAGCCCAAGAAGCCAAAAGAACATCTGCTAGAATGCCCAAAGGTATAGGGAAGAGATTAAGAAGGGTCCAGGACTAAGAAAGCAAAACCCAGGGAAAGATCGAGAAGGACGAGGGCTCCCAGCAGTACCATGTTTAATGATGGGCTTTGCAGGGAGGCACGTCTCAGCTCCTGCCTATACCACTTACAAGTCACATTGACTGAGGAAAGGTCTTCCATTTCCCAGAACCCTGGCTCCTTGATTGGTAAAATAGGGAGAACAATACCCACATTATGGAGTTATTGTGAGATTTAACTGAGATAATACATGTAAAATATGTTGCACAATTCCCAAGATCTAAGTGCTTAATAAATGCAGGCTGGTGTTACCGGGGCATAAACAGAGCGATGTGCAGGGCAAATGCAAACTAAATCCATTCTTTGAACTTTGCTTTATGTGTCACTCAGTGCATATGGGATACCAGCCTACGTTAAAAGGTTCCGATAGCAACTGTATAATGTCACTGTGAAGTTTAAATAAAATTACATACACAAACACAATTATCTATAATTATCTGGCACATGGTAAGCATTCAGCAATTCATAACTCTTATTTTTATTAGAAAAATTTATCTTGCCTTGTGTTTGCACCTAAGATTAATCATCATGGTAGAAAATGGTCTTGTTATGAATAGACAAGTCACTAGAAGGAAAATAATAAATGAGTAATAAACAAGGAAAAATGTCCAACAAAAAATATAAATTAAAACAATGATACCATTTTTTACATAAGGAAACACAGATTTTTTTTTTCTTTTAATGATAAGCCCTAGTGATGCTAGGATTCATTAAAGTAAGCTTATATGTTACTTGTGGGAGTGGAGATGGCAATGACCTTTTAGAAAGTCATTCAGCAATATGTTACAAGAACCTTCAAGTGTTCAAAACTTCTACTCAATAATTCCATTTCTTACAGTCTAGCCTATGGAAATAACTTAAAATAGACGGGAAAGATACATAAACGCGCTTTCCTGCAGTGTTTTTTCCAATATAAACAATGAGGAACAATCTGAATAGTTAACAGAAGATGAATGGTTGATTATATAACTTTTACTATGGCATACTTGTTCAATGAAATATTATACAGCTATTAAAAACAATGCCAATAAAGAGTTTAAAGTAACCCATTAAGAGCTTACAATGTCATGTTAAGGATGAAAGTAGAATATAAAATTGTTTAAATAGTAGGTTCACAGTAAGTGAATTCAACCTGCCACCTGCTTCTGTAAATGAAGTTTTATTATAGCACAACTGTATTAATCCACTGACATATTGTTTATGGCTGTTTTGCACTAACATGGCAGAGTGGACTAGTTGCAACAGAGACTGCATGGCCCACAAAACCCAAAATATTTCCTATCTGACTCTTGATAGAGAAACTTACCAACTTTTGACTTAAAACATTGCACCCCGAAGATTTGACATAGCACAATAGCTTGAAAGTCAATGTTGTTCAACCAAGAGAAACAACATTTCAACATTCCAGTAGAAAGTGCCTGTCCAAGAAGAAAGTGCTTGATGATTTTAAGGTTGCTGATTTTCCTTTCTGATTTTACAACTTCTACACAGATACCTCTAGATTTCTCCATTTAAGAAAAGCCATTGATGATATTTGCTGTTAGTCAATTTAGCCTGGCAGCATGTAAAGTTCAAAAGAAGTAGGCAAAGAGGGATCTGCAAAGAGGACAGCTTTCACTGAAAGACAAGGATGATTCCTAGCAATTGAATTATCCAGATATGGGATGGTCTTGCTCAGGCATGCTGACTCCTCTTGGATGGTATTAAATCTGAGACTGAACGAACATTTAGAGGGCATATTATGGAGAAACAGGCAGTGGGCTGGGTAAGTGCTGAGCTCTTTCCACCTTATAGTCTAGGAAGAGTGGATGAAAACATGGAATCTCAGGAGAGATGAGAATCAGTTGAAGGATCCGTCACTGACCATTTGGGAGACTCAAATCATTTAACTTTTGCAACATCCTCACAACCTGATTCTGCACCATCTGTTTACACAGTACCAGGGACAGCGAACTCCTCTCTGAGGCAGCCCATTCTATAACTGTCCCTTGTGTATAAGTAACAAAGAACTAACCTTACATTTTTGCGCCTTTTAACCTTGGCATGATCTTGTGAAGTTCCAATAGGTTTATGTTCTTACCCGCAATGATTAAAGGACGTTTTAAGCTCCCGCATTATCTCCTTCCTCTCTGTAGCTCGACCTGTGGGGCCTGCACTGGGACTTGGAGGTGTTTGGGGGGAAAGACATAAATTATCCATAACTATTGGTGTCTCTGCCTTATTTGGGAACACCTACTGTTTTTCGTGGCCTTATCCCAGGAAGGTCCAAATGCTGGCTTTCTGTGGGCCTATGTGAGCTCTTCTTCAGACCTTGTGAAGCCTTCCACAGTTGCCTAATATGAGACATACTAGTTGATCTCTCAAATCCCTCAGATCCCCGTACTGGCTGTACATCTTATAGCCTTTGAGGCTGTGGTTTTCTGGCCCAGCCCACTATCCTAGGGAGCTCTTTGTACACAAGAGACTCCCTTCTTGGTTCTTATTTGACCTGTGGAAATTCACACATCCTTTCTAAATGGTAGGGGTAAAGGATGCTTTTTCTGTCCTCCTGTCGCCCTCTTGTTTCTTCTCACCTGCATAGGTAGACATCAGAGCAGAGTTAGCTGCCTAAGAAGGGATTCAATATCTATGTGTGGTTCCCTTGGAGCCACTCTATTCTCTTGGCTTCAGAGAAGTATAGGAAGATTTCAATGTACATTCTACTAGTGCAACAACTCAAGACTTCGGCAAATCTCCAACTTCTTTTACCTCTCACTCAAAGTGTCTTTTTACATTGATTGATGAAAGAGGTGGACGGGAGCCTGGGATGAGGGTGGGAAACAGCAGAACTGCTAAAGTGCCTCTTAAGAAACCCCCAAAGGAAGTTTCTGTCTGTGAGTATTTGTGGCTCTGTATAGATGTCTTGGGTACCTAATGTTTTCTTACCCTCAGCTTTGAGTCCTAGTTATAATTTTGGAGCAACAGGCCAAGTCCCCCTCAACAGTCTGTTACACTGTCATTGCCTGGCCTGACCGTGGTTAGCTAAATTGCATTCTAAGAAGTCCAGTCCCAGGAAGTACTTCACCTAGAACCTCCTTCACAGAAAATCACTGGACGTAAAAGGCTTTTAACAAGTCCTAGAGTTTAGCTTTCTTTAAATGAGCACTGCTGCTGTGGCCTATTTTATAGTGTATGAAATGTTTCCTTTAGAGATTGCTCTCACTCATTTATCCATTAGTCCATCCAACACTGATGGTGTACCTACTCTACTCTAGATTTGTATTAAATATACCTATTGGGAAAGTTATCTACAATTTCATTCATTCTTTACAACAGCCTTTGGAGATAGATGCAGCAGATAATTTACTATCCTTATGTTGCAGATGAAAGATCTGAAGGTCAGAAATGTTACTTTTTTCAAGCTTACACATCTCTTAAGAAAAGAGGTTGGGGTTGGGAGAGAAGAAGAAGGAGCTGGAACATAACTAGTCTATTGTGGCATCCCAGACTCCATCATTCTACTTAGCATTCAAGAATGTTTAGGAACAAAGCATCTCTACAAGGAAAGAAAGTATGGGAGTACATTCTCGACTGTTACACAAATCTAGCAATACAATTGAATGCCG